TTTTATCATCATCTATTACAATACATGCAATGATTTGGCATTTTTACACCTAAAAAGATAATGCTGGTGGTGGTGATGATGACGATGACGGTTACGAAGATTACAAATTTATGAACGAATTGGAAAAGGCTCAAAAAAGAAAAGATCCACATCTACATCTGATACGGGTTATAGCCGAGTCAAGATCAAGAAGTATTACTATTTTTTCATTTTTCTGAATATTTTATATATCCCTACAAAGCAGCAACATCAAATAAATCAACCGGTAAAAGGACACAACACACACACATACACATAGGATTACAATGGGGCAAAAATCCAAATAATGGAATGCAGTGTCATGATAGGGAGATGAATTATGGAAGTTTGTTTAGGATAACGCGTGAGGTAAGTTTTTGTGTATTTTTGTTGAACACTTGTTTTTCCATCGTTTTTTAATTTTTATTACATTCTTCAAGTTATTCGATCTTCATGGTCGTGGTCCTCGGCATCTTCGTCGTTCTGGCAGTGATAATCTTGCCGAAAGCGGTTTAAATGATGATAATCAACGAGAACCGATGCAACAAGGAAAAGAATTCTCAGAAACAGACGCGACAATAACTACACCACCGCCACCAAAAACTTCGAAGAAAAGAAAGAAAAATCCGAGAAGCGAAATTGAGGAGGAAGCATTTATGGCAATGATTGAATCTTTAAAAGTGCCAGATAAAGAAGAGATAACAGAACCAGAGAAAATAGTTCAAAGTGTTAAAATAGAATGTAAATTAAAGCCTTGACATTCGTATGCAGTTAATATTGAATATTGAAATAGAGATTGGAACCGGATTTAATCTTCTTATTACATGTGTAAATTTAGGTATTAAAAATGAATCCGGTTCAAATCTCTATGCAGATACCAATTCTTATTTGATCGTCTGATAATCAATCAAATTTTTTCAAACAAAAAAAAAATGAGAACAAGGCTCTTTACCACTACTATCATTACTCGTACTCGAAAATTTACCACGCCTTGCAGATTACAGCGACACATATCCTCGCTAGCTAACGAAAGTGAAGAAGTTGCTGGAGAAGACAACTCTGCTAAACCACTAGAATTAGCTACCCATGAAAAAATAATCAGCATTCTTCGTGCATCTTCGGCAATGAATAGTAAGTGCGTGATGTATTAGTCGTTCGAAAAATATGAATGAATCAATTTTTTCGTTTTGTAAAAATAGGGATCACAGGGCAATCTGGCAGAATGGCTGGATTACCTGAAAATCGATCAAGATATGTGAAGGCGTTTCAGCCGGGTCAGGTAATTTCTTTTTTATTGCTATCAATCTTGATCAATTCATGATTTATTATCACTAATATTCTCATAAAGATATACAAACCATCGGATCTAAGCGAGGATACTAACGTGCAACGAAGAAGATATTTAGAGAAGCCGAGACCCACCGTCGATGTGTTCAATGTATTGAGAATAAACCCATTGAAGGAGTATAAGGTATGATTTATGATTTACATTTAAAAATAATTTATTAAGAATCTCTATGTGATATAATACATATAAACTAACTATTCGTCTGAAAATAATAATACATATAATACATATAAATTATCCCATTAAAAAATGCATAGAATTTCAATTTACTATCGAGTTTTGTGTCCGAGATGGGAAAAATATTGCCAAGATCTCAAACAGGTGGGTGCATGTCTACTAACGGATAATAATTGATAATTTTGGTTTCAAAAAGGAATGTTTCGTGAATTATGTAAAAACTATTGTTATTATAAAAGGTATAACAGCCAAAAATCAGCGCCGATTAGCTAAAGCCATCAAACGCGCGCGATCGTTCGGTAAAGAATCAAAATTGAATTGATATCTTTATAAAAAAGGAATGCTATTAAATAATAATATTTAAAATAGGTCTTATGCCCTCAACGCATCGAATGCCTATTGAGGAGATATCACTATACGAAAAAACCAATCGCAAAACACCTGAAAGAGAAGGAAAAAAATTATTTGACATAAGAGGATAATCAATCATTTTTTTTGATTCTTATTATCAATAAAAATTGATTTAATTTACCTCTTTGTGATATACGTAGGAGTTTCATCCACAAGATTGTTTTGTGTATCATTATATAATTGAATGATAATCGCCCGGATCTATGAAAATTCAGCCTAATAACGAGGCTTTTTCAGATCGTGATATTTTCATCTCCTGCATGCTCATTTGGATCCATGGCAATATTGTCTTTCTTTTCTCTATTATTGTTATCATTTTCTTCCCGAGTTCTTAATTCTCGCGATTTCTTGGATTCTGAAGATTCGGAAAAATCAGCCGCAATATTAATTGTCGTCATTGATGTACTTTGTTGAGCCGAAGATTCAGAAACAACAGAAGGCTCTCCATCATTCATCGAAATCACAACCTCCTTATTAGGATCATCATTTTCCTCCGCTTTATTATTAACGCAATCATATTTACACATTGGACAAACACCAGACACCTTGGTCAACCATCGCTCTTTTTGACGGGGCACAAAGAAATTATTTCAGGGAATATTAATCACACTATAAAAAATATAAATCCTCATACCTATACAGTTAGGATGATATATATGAGCACACGGCAGCTCTTTAACTTGTTCAGTCTCAACAAAATCTTCTAAGCATACAGCACAAGTTTCAAAATCTTGATCTTTGTCAACATCAGCATTTTTATCAGTTTCAGTATGTTCATCCTCATTTTCTGCTACTGACCGAGTTTTTGATTTACTGCCATCAGCTTGCTGCGATGATGATGATGATAACGACAACGACGTAGGATTCTTTTCTGTCATTTTCTTACGAGAGGCGTACGGTTTGGAAGGATAATCAGCTAGAATTTTTGGATCTAATAATTTTTGTTTGGCGTCTTGTGTACTTGGTAAGCGAGCTCTGAGCATGTTCGCTGAATGAATCTCTTGCTGACGACGACGTGTTTTAAATAGCATATCTAAAAAGTAATTATGATAGAATCTTGTTATATGTAATAAAGGATGTAGAAAGAGACGGAGAACCAATACATACATGCCACAAAGATAGTCTAAAAGAGAAGTTTTAAAAAAAACATTAGTGTTATTACTCTGAAAAATAATATAACAATTTTATGTAAATTGATAATTACTATAACAATCACGATAAAATATGTGAATCGATTTCCCGCAGTTTGACCGGCATTTGATCCATCTGAACCAGGAGATGATGTCATTCCTAGCATCATCACTCTAACAGCGTGATGTTGATTTGATTGTTGTGTATTAGCGTTATTTGAAGCATTTAAACTATAAAGTAACTGAATTCCTATTTCATTGGAAACTATCACAGAAATAAATAAGAAATAATCAATGAAAAATCCGGAGCATTAAATTTGACTATAAATCAAAATATCAAAATACAAAACCATAAAAGGCAGGCATAGAAGTTGTAGGCGGTAAATTCACATCCGTATCTAAAGAATCTACGTTGGAAATATTCGAACTGGAGACATTATTATACAAAATTACCCCAACCGATCCGTTCGCATGCTTGATTTTATCAGCGAATGTACAACCACCACCGCGTTCTATCAGCGCTATTTCATCTATCGATTCTACCACTGTATTGTCACTGCAAGCGTAACCCAGGTCGCGAAGAATTCCCTAAATATTTTACATGGTTTTTACCGCATTAGATTCATCATTTTTTCATGCTCTAATAAT